CCTACATACTGAAAATACATGTAGTTTCTTCTGTGTATTCTACCGCGCTGTGACAAGGTTTCGCGTGTGTTATAGAAAGTTGAACGTCGTGGATTTCTAATGAATTTAATAAAGAAAATTACACTGAATGTAAATACCATTGTAACGTCATTTACGTGTGACGTTACGTTTTTTGGCAATTCAAAAATTTACGTTGGCAGCGAAAGGGTTAAAAAACTAAAAAAAAAGAAGCTATAGCAAATAAAGCGCAATTAGTTTTTAGCGATATTTATTCGATATAGGGAATTTAATATAAGTTCCTTTATAACTCGGAACAAATTCTATGTATTATTTATATACATGGTAACATTATACATATATCACATGGCTTCGAGGGTGACATACCAGAATATTTGCCCCGAGGTGACAGGGAAGCCCTGGAGTGTTATGTCACCCGATGCCGGAGGGGCAAATATTCTGGTATAGTCGCCCGAGAATTGAAGCCATGTGGTATATGTTATATGACATTTTTAAAATAAAAAGAAAATTTAAAATCATTCAAAGTTTACAAAAATAATCCAAAAATGCCTTCTTGACGTTAAGAAATACGCTGTGTTGTTTACTTTTGCTTAGCAACCGACGTTATAAAATCTCGAACCCGAACTAAAATGCGTAACGTAAAAACACGTGAAGGTGATCGAAAGGCTGACATAACTGTTTCCGACGGGGGTGACATAACTGTTTCCGGCGTGACATAACTGTTTCCGGTGTGACTCAGCATTTTTCAGGGTTTATAGCGAAACTTATTACATTTGTGATATAACAAGAAAACTTATTCATAAATGTTATATACAATTTTATCACCCTCGCTAATGATGCCGAAATTCAAGCCTCGATAAAAATTCTGCTTATACGGTATGCTATAGAGTAGAATATCTGGTTTCTGTTTCATTGAGTTGGATTGAACAGCAAGCATAAATGCCTATGATCGTTTTCCTCATCGCTCACATTCGTGATGTAAAAATACATTGTAGATATTAGTTTTTTCTTGGGTTCAAATATTTAATTTCAGGTGATTTTCTTTATAAATATTAACAAACTTGCATGCATTTTATATTATTTCAAAACTGGCAAAATCCTTATACATTATGCAAATATTATTAACGTTATTCAAATGATGACTGAAAAAAGTTTGTGATACAAGTATATTGTATTGATCATAGATACATGTATCATTGATCCTTGATATTTACTGTTAGATATCAATTCACAATGCATACGTACTTTTGAGATGAAAATGATACAGCTCTATTTTTAAGCTAGATCCATTTTAAAATTTAATTAAAACGTTATATTTCATAAATCTTTTAATGTCTTGAGCAGCATCCCTGTTAGTAATGCTATCATAACAGGACTTCCTGTATTCACTGTAAAGAATGTTAGTGAAATCTGAAACTCTGTCATCCGGTCGATCTGTCAACAAGTTTTCTGGTACAACACTCTCTTCAGAAGCATGGATAATGACAAGCATGATTTTTGGTTTTCCTGTACATAAAAGGTCAATGAATTAGCAGAATTTACTATTAAGGGGGGACCTATGTCGTTCTACGTCAAGGCAGCGTTATGTGACGTCACAATAGCGACGTTTGTTTTTACCTGTTGACTTTTGCAACTGTGGTATAGGCATAACATTGTTGATAATCAATAACGTGCACAATTTACAAAAAGAAAATTTATTAATCATTTATAACAGTTTTATTTGATTTATGGGGTTTGTTAATACTAGAAATCTCTTCCTTTGGTTGATGATTCATAGCCATTTCTGTTGTGAAAAAATACCTCGATAATATGCTGATATAATAGTGCAAAAAAGAAATAAAATTCAGCAAAGAAAGCGGCTTAAATGAGGGAAATATGTTTAATCTTATAATTACCATTAATCGATTTTCTGGAGAAAACTAAGAATTTTTTTTTAGAAATGTACTTGTACAGGTGAATATTTGCTTACTAATTTATAGTACATGTACATTTTACTGTATAAAGGCATTCCTAGGTTCTAATAGGTGTTGGTTGTTGACGGGGAAATGAGGGGGGGGGGGATAGAATGAAGAAGAAAATTTGTCTGTTTAAATTGTTAAAGCGATCTGCGTCTGTATAAATTCTTTTGTTGTACTATCGGTGAATACAATCGTCAGGTGGATTCCCTAGTCAAAGCACATGATTATGAGTATACAATGAAGCGCATTGAAGTGGTAAAGGATGATGTGACATAACTGCTATATATTTAATCTACAACGATGTTGTTAGTTTTCAAACATGAATGAATAAATACGACGCCTTTTGAATAGTTTCAATAGTTCAGACACATTTTAGTTATAAGGAATACTGCATTATCTTTGATATTTTAGACCCTATCAAAGCTAAATTCGGCCAGGTTTGTGAGAATATTTTCTTTTATGGCAAGAGAATGGGCGGGTCTTAGTACAATAGAGGGATATGCGTGTCCGAGAAGACCTTATATGGCTATTGTTATTATTTCTTACTTAGTCATTGTCCAATCCGATGACAGAACAACAAAACATGCTGGTTTACTACGTGTACATTTTATCGCAGACACGTTTTTAAGGTAAATTTACCTGTTGTCCTTTTCTACATTTCAAACTTTTATAATGGTCAGCCAGTGCTGTTTATACTTAATAATACGCATGGACTTTCAGCATTTACGGTTTTTAGGACAAGAAATGCATTTGAAACTTGTATTCACCGATACTCGGAAATACGTGTAGACCTAGCGAATTGCTCACCAAACACGCTACAAAACTTAAATGTATATCATGTACATGTATATTCTATCAATTGTTTGTAACTGTATATAAATTTTACAGTGGTCTCCGAAATGGTACATATGTAGATCCGTGTCTAATCTGTAACTCAAATGCATAAAAAAATATCGGAAAGCAGTAAAATTCCAAGCATGTTTCCATAGTATTTTTGTGGTACTCACTCGTTACGAATTTCATCTAGCTGATTGGTCAGTTAGAAAGTATCGCCTGTGCCTCGATTAACATATGATTTCATTCTTGCGTCAGAAAATCTAGTTCCGTCGATCTGTTCATAATGGGAAAGGCCAACTAGATTTTACAATTTTTTTTAAAAAATAGCATGTGAGCGCAGTTAGGTACAAATTTCTCCTTTCACATATAGGTAGATTTCAATAAAATACAGTGATCAGGGAGAAAACTGTACCTATCTGCGCTCGTATATTTTAAGGGCTTCAAAGAGTGGGGCGGGGTCAAAATGCAATGGGAATTGAATGTAAACATGATACCCCTACCCCAATAAAAGATTTATATCTTTCAAATCACGTTGCTATTTTTGTTAAAATAGTATTATATAAAAGTACACATATCAGTGATTAGTTACATACAAAAATTTGAGTAACATTTTGACATTTTATTTTTTGTCAGATTACGAGGAGCCGCAAGTCATCTCATCCTTTTCCGTTTGAATGAAACGTTCTGAGTCATGTTTTGAACGTCAATTACAACATAATGTCACGCCCATATTTTTATAAACGAGAAAGAAATATTCGTCGTAATGTTTTAGGACACCCCATTCTTACACTGAAATGGAGCTTTAAAAACATTAGAAGAGAAAGTTAGAGACTCTCCGCTTCTGTAAAACACAAACTGCAACAAATATGTACATATTGTTTAACTTATCATGTCTATTGAAGTTACCACAACACATGTTTCGGTCAAACACGTGTGTACTCGATATTTATTTAGACCGTCAATTTCATTGGCTATAATATTTATGGAAAACCTGTTCTACAGGTATTCGAATAAACAAATTGACAGTTTTATCCATTTCTAAAGAAATGGGCGTGTAGAAAAGAAGATATTTTTATACGCAGCCATTCCGCCCAAAATGTAATCCCTACTAGGTTACCATCTCAATTTACAATACATATTTTAAGTTGTACAAATGTGATGAGGAAAGAATTGATCTTTAAATCTGTTACATCTAAATATATACATCATGTAAATAAGCTAATAGACTTCGAATATTCCAGTCAGAAACCAGACAATAATTCCCCCTTAACTGATAATGATTTTGTACGAAATATGTATTTCCAATCATTTAACTTTCTAACAAATATAAACTAACGTTTTTGAGTGGAGGCATCTTAAGCATATTGCTTTCATTCCAATGTAGGATTTCCTTCCGTTTTCATAAGAACGGATTGTGTTCGGTAACGCTTGACAGTTTGATGCCTGTTGTATGCCAAGATGAATGTAATTAACTCCAAAATCTTTATATGTATGGTCCAATAATTTCATAAACAATTTTTTTTTAAATTATATACACCTGAATAGTTGTCAACAATAAATACATTTTAAAATTCAAAAATATAGTTCTTTGTTTTATTTGACTTTATTAAATGTACCATCATATATTTCTGTAAACAATATTTTATACTATACAAATCTACAAATATTCAAAGTTTCTATGAAGGAATTTGGTTTATATTCAATATATATGAAACAATAATAACTCAAAGGAAGAGATATTTATTTTCCATGAAGATTTCACAACCTTTTTTATTTTTTTTAAAAAGAGATGTAGTTGCCATATTGATAAAGTAGCATATGATATGACAATTTCTTCAATTATTTTTTTACGAAGTCCTTGATCGCTTTTACGGCCTGTCTGTTGGTTTGGCAGTCGTAACATTGTTCGGAATCGCTATAGACTATATTAGCAAAACAAGATATTCTGTTATCTCTATTTTCTGTTAAAAGGTCTTCTGGCTCTACCCCACGTTCACAATGATGCATTACAATAAGCATTATGTTGGATTGATCTGAAAAAAACAACTCAGTTACTATATGTAATAATAAAACTTGAAGGAAGATTGTATATTTGATTAACAGTTATTTTTGATATCACAAATATGAACAAGTTTTCTTATTTTATATTACTTAGATATTTAAAAAAACGCCACTGATCATGCATACCTGTAATTTTGAAAGAATTCAGCGTTTCTGTTATGTCATCTTCTAGGCGAGACGTTCTCACGCAAATTACAATCACTGTGTTCTCAATTGTTTGAAGATCTTTCCACTCGAGTTTGCAAGATGGCAAATACTTGTTTTGAAAGTTTTGAAATGTACTTCGACAAAATGCTTGACTTGGAGATGTTGTCACTGAAATATAAAAAAAGTACGTACATACAAATTTAATTGCCTTTAAAGGGTGCCAACTGTAGGCCTTTCAACTGCCGCTAAGGGTCGGTTTTATGAACGATAAGTAAACTCACTGCTGAAACATTTGAGAGCAGGCTCGGGGTATCTAACTGTTTACACGCAAGGCAGTTTTTAGCATTTCCCAAGTGTTTTTTGCTCTCAGTAGGATCCAGTGGTTTTAAAATTTAGAACCAATGTTAAACTTATTTACTGTATAGTTGCAGACACCATTTCACTACATATAATTAAAAGTTTTAATTAAAATAAAAAGTTAAATCTACCCTCATTCTTAGTTTTAACCTAATTAAATTTTTATACTCGGTCGTTCCCCTTCGTGCTTAAACACACAAGTAAGATGATCAATTGCTGCATTTACTTGTAAAAATATATATATTAATATAGGAAGCGAAAAAGCGCGCGCACAAAAAACAAAATTTTCTTCTCCATAAAAATCGTCAAAGAGAGTTAAATATTGAATATACTAGTAGTCTGCTCCCCATTCATTTGTCCCTGTTTTTTCAAGTAGAGTGAAGGCATTCTCTTTCTCATGGTCAACACTTTTGTGTACAAAACAATGTAAGGAACCCTTTTGTGTACATAACAATACCAATTCTGAAGCAGCCTTTATGTCATTCCTATAAACGATAACTACGAAAGCCCAGAAGGCTCATTCGAGATTCGAGGTTCGAAATACGAAATTCGAGATTCGAAATACGAGATTCGAAATTCGAGATTCGAAATTCGAGTTTCGAGATCCAGATTAACCAATCAAAAGCAGGTTCAACATTTGATTACACCCCTTTATTATGATTTTACTATCAAGAAATCATTTGATATATTTATAACAAATGAGTCATTTGATTAAATTACAATGCAAGAAAGAGTATCATATATATAGGAAGGAAATTTAAATGATCATTATATTTTTGATCAGCAAGATACACTTCAATTTATTTTATGGCTTTTTAAATATTAAATAGAATACATATATCAGGAGTATATATATATATATATATTTGTATTGTCTACTTTGTTTCCGGGGTTGATGACACATAAATAAAGTTATAAATAAGTGTCAAGTGTCTAAAGATTAACGATAACCCTATCCCTACCTACCCACCCCTCCTGCGTATTTTTCCAAACACACTGTAAATGTTACTTTGTAAAACTTGAAAGGCGACTCAGTATAGAAAAACGGAAATAGCGTTCGTTTTCCTGATAGAGGAAATACATAAAAATTAAGTATTTATTACTTAAATTATTTAATTTAATCTTCTTCTAAGGCTTTGATTTCTTGAATTAATTAAAAATTATATATACAATACAGATTGGCAATATGAATTAAAATAAAAGCGGCATTTATTTTATCTTATATCAATAGTAGATGAGTCGAAATCAGATGCAGAACTAAAGTGTTATGGTTTTAAATTTTAGTCTCTGACACCGTTATGACCAAAGACTAAAATATACTCGTGAAACTTTATAAAGGTACAGTTCAATTCAGCAGCCAAGTCTCACAAATGTAGCCTTTATAAATGTAATGAAATATATACCCTTGAATTACTGTGCAGTGTAGAGACGATTCACAATACAAGTATTTCATATCTAATTATTATCAAATATAATATTCTCCCTAAGCAGTAATCTGATAAAAAAAAAATAGTCGACCTACTTGTCCCGCAAGTCAACGATAAAACCATATAATATTCCATATATATGTATTTACTATTTTGTTTAATGAAAAAAAAAAATAAAATTATAAATGTATTTTTCAAAATGTAATCCAACTTTTTATTTTTATTTCATTTTAATTCATAAAACATTTTTTCTTGCATTATCATTTAGCAAATGACCCATTTATTATAAATATATTCAACGATTTCTTGATAGTAAAAACATAACAAAGGGGAGTAATCAAATGTTGAACCCGCTTTTGATTGGTTAGTTTGGATCTTGAATTTCGAAACTCGAATTTCGAATCTCGTATTTCGAAATTTGAATCTCGAATGAACCTTCTGGGCTTTCGTAGATAACTCCTAAATCGGCACTAAGTTGGTCATTTTTCACACCTGAGTTACCTTTCCTTCAAACACAACATCGGAAAAGTCAGTTATAAATAATTAAACTTTTTAATGATGTAATTAAGTGTATGGATAAGTTATGATTTTTTTTGATAATTTCATGTACCTATAAATCTATCTATGCAATGTTTTTTTTATCATATGTGCAACTTGAAAAATTAGTTGAAAGGCCTACCAACTGGGGTTTTATTGTGTGAAAACTACAGTAGAGAAACTCTTGAATTTTATACTTATGTAACTTACATTGACTTCAGTGTACATTCCAAGTTAAGTGAAAATCAACCGTCCGGTAATTTTAAATGGACTTTATACGAATAACACAAGAGACCTTTGCTTAATTTATAATACCGGTATATGACATATAATACAATGCTGTATTGTACTTTATATGTAAGAAACACTAAATTCTTCTTCTTATTTCTGGAGGGGGCAACTCAAAATGACAAAATTAATGAAATTGCATGTTTTATGGAGTACTGCATAATATAACTGAAACAAAGGATTTATACAAAAAAAAAAAATACATAGAAAAGAGATAGAGAGTTTCAAATTCTTATGTTTTAAATTTTAAATGATACGAATTAATACTTTTCTTTTATACCAATTTTAATGACCCTCAATTTATCATAACGTCAAAAGCATACTTTTTCGAAATCAATGTAACAATTAGTTGAAAACTTGTTTTGAAAATCATTTTTTTTGTAGATTATATTGAAATTTTCAACCTGTAATTTCTAAATTTGGTTACATTTTATTAATAACAAGAAAGTAGCTATAAAACAGTAAATGCGCTTCATTTTACATGTACAATAATGCGCGAAGTTTTCCGCAATGGAAACCCCAGTCGCCCTACCTAAATCAATAAATTGTGTCAGTGGGTCTCGCCTATTCAATCCGAATACCGGTTTTTCTATGGAGTTTACCTACTTTAAGTGAAATGTATAAAGGCATTACTTTTGCGCTCGTATATTCAAAAAGGTCAGTAGAAATGAATTTTGAAAATAAATTATAAAAATAAAAAATCCCAAGTATTTTCAAGATTAATTTCTTTATTAAGTTTTTATTCAAGTGATTTTATTTATATGTAAAACAGCAAAATTCTGTAATACTCACCGTTAATTGATTTGGGTAAAAGGCAACCTTTTTCGTCACTGTCTACTGCATGCAAAAGATCATAGTGTTAGAATTGATTTACTACAAGATAAATCGAGATCTTTTAAATGAATAGATAAGTTAATAATATTTCTTTTTTTGCCTTTTAGTATCTTCGCTAAAAGCATGTTTGCATGAGATTTTAATATTCAATGATGAGAAATGGATGACACTGAAACTGTTTTTATCAAATTTTGTCTTTTAAAACGGTGAGATTACTTTAATTTTCAATTATGTAGTTCTCAAGAGGGACGTTAAACAATATACAATCAATCTATCAATCTATCAATCAATCAATCAATTACTTTATTTTACTTCATTGCGCTAATGCAATACCCATTATGATGTCACATCAGTTGGATATGAAAACGATATCACAAGAGTTATATCCACAGGATAAAGGGGTAAACATGGTATAAATATAAGATTAATTATAAAACATAAAAAAATAACCAATAAAATTCATATTTTCAATCAAAAATTATGACAAACAATTAATGAAGAACGCGGATTAAGAAGTAAAATACTATTCGATATTCGTAAATAATTCATTTTTTTTCGTCCGACATCCTCATATCCTTAATTCAAAAAAGCCATTAATTATCTGTATTTTTGTATAATTGTGAATATTAATTTAAATATCATAATATAAAGTCAAGTTTGGACGGTTTATAATCCGAAAAAAAAACGGTAAAGAAGAAAGTAACCGAGTGTAAAGCTTATATTAGAATTTATTGATTAGTGTTAAAATTTATGATATGCGAAATCTGATAACTTAAACAAATTAAAGGTCGAAGGATCAGTATCAGTCTTCTTCGCGGTTTTATCATTTACTTCGTCACTTTTTCTTGCCAAGACAATCATGTCAGTACAAGACAACAATTATCATTGTACAAAGTCCTCGTAAATATCTTGTAGTATCTCTTTTTTTCTCATGACATTGGAATCAAGAGTAAACTACATTTTACGGATTTATTTTTTATAGTTTATCAATTAGTATCATAATTAAACTTAATTACCTGCAATACGGCAGTAGAAACCGAAGCAACAGCAGCAGTACCTCAGAAGAAAATTGAATGTTCCTAGCAAGCAATTATAACAGCATCCACAACATTCATAAGAACATCGACTCATGTTTCTTAGGCACCTGAAAAACCTTACATATAAAAACAGTTCATAAATGTTAGGGTGATATTAGCACTTTTATTTTAAATTTTGCTTTTTTTTCTTACTACACGTAAAAAACTCTAAAAACTTTTAAGCCCCCCTCACCCCCCCCCCCCCCCCCCCCGCCCTCCAAAATAAAGGAAGCCAAAAGAACAAAGTTTAAATAAAAAACTAAATAATTTTTTTCTTTACGCTCTTCTTTCAAAGTAATGGACAGTTTAATAATTGACCTAGTCAACACCTTGAAACATTTAATCAGTTAATATTGACGTGATGAAAACTTGTAAAGGTTTTCTTAATTCTATAGTTATCCTGATTCTATAGCTATAATCTCATATTCAAAATACATGTATAATATTTTACTTTTTTTTTTTAGTTTTTAGATTTAAGATACCTCAAAGGATTAGATTCCTCAAATTGTGCTTTGATACTTTAAAATGTATCGTTTCTGAGTATATTTATTTCAACAATTTGACTTCTTGTTCCTATTAAATAAATACAGAAATACTATCAATTCCCAAATGTCGGTATATAAATAAAAGGAGAATAGGGCGTATCATTGTACCCTGAAAATCCAGAGGTGCTATGAAATATATGGGGAAAGCGGACAGTATTCAAGCTCAAAAGTTCATTAAACAATACAAAATTGGAGCAGAGCAAACTTTATGACAGGCCTCCAAAACATCAGAGGTTTGATCAGGTGCCATGGAGAAATGAGCATCCTCTGCTGAACGGTCACACTCGCCGTGTGCTCCTTGTCATGATCAGAAAATAATGGAAAAATTCGACGACAATTCAGTGTGTGTAAATAAACGCCTTACATTTTGTATGAAACACGTCAGTCAGCATTTGACTCAATGATAAATTGTATTTGCTGAAAAGTACTGTCACTGACATTATGAAAAAGTTGAAGATAAGAGCAATATTTAATCTCATGTATTTTCATCTCATGAAATTTGCCTATTTCAACGTCCAAATGTTTGTAGTAAAGCTAAAAAATTGTGACGTTTTCTTTGTTTATTCTCAAAATCTGACATTTACGTATTACAGTTGGAAATCTGCATTTATTTAGTTTCAAGTTAATAACACTAAAAAATTGACTTTGGAAAATAGTCTTAAATTTTTCAACATTTCAACAGTTAGTTTTTAGTCATGTCTTTTATCCTCTTAATTTGCATCCCCTCACTTTCGCAGTTGTTATCAATAATGGCGAAATAATGTATTCTAGTTAAAATTAAATCGCCCATTTTTTCATCTTCTTTGAGGCAATTCCATTTTCGTGGCATTCATAGCATCCCGATTCATCACTGTACAAAATATTGATAATTTCTTTGAAACGAGAATCCTTTGTTGGCAATGAAACATCAAGAGATACACCTTTAACGCAGTAGTGTAGAATAATCAAAATTGGCTTTACTGCATCTGTTAGGAAGAAAGGATTGTAAAGAATTACTTAAAGATTCACTAAAATAATTCAAAAAGCCCTTCTTTTCACCCACATCAGGTAAATGTCGACGACTTTCCTTACAATGAATGAATTTATGAAACACTGTAATTTAATTAAAGAACAAAGTTCACTTGTGGACTCTTTGGGCCTTGTTTATTTCTGAAAAAAAAAAAACGAAACCGCTAAATTTAAGGGGTACCGTCCCTCCGATAAGAGATATAACTTCCAAAGTACGAAATATGAATACTGCTCATTGTCAGAGTTTCCCACTTGAGACCTCTGATAAGTCATTCGGTGAAATTTAACATGTGATGGAAGCATATTAACCTCCTTTTTCTTTTACAAATTTCTTCCCAATTTAATTATATTTATATAAAAACATTTAAATTCAATTTAAAAAGCCTTATAAATCGATAAAGTTGTATCTTTTAAGGACCATTTCAAAAATGGTCTAACGCTTCAAGTACCAAATACAGAATTTTTCTTAGCATTTCATTTTTTAAAGTGAAGAAATATTTAGAAGAAAGATAACTCCTCCTCACCACATACAACATTATGATATTCTGACTAAGGAAGCAACGCTTGATTATATTTTCTAACATTATTGTGATAGGTATGATACTAAGTATTACTTTCATATAAACCTCATATTTTAAATTTTATGTTGTAATAATAAATCGTTGTTCTTTCTTATCTCTGTGTTGAATTTCCCCCATCTGATCTGATAATTTTAAAAGCTAATTTTCAATATTTAATATAGAGCGCAACCTCTGATCTAAAATAGGCAAATAGTAAATGATGGAACTTTTTCTGAAGATATCATTTTTAGATCAGAGCGTGCGCTCATATTATTTTTACTCTCTGAAAGTACTCAGATATATCTGTTTACATTAAAATTTAAGAACGTTGCAATTCCATACAGCCAGTGTTCCAAGAACTGGAGTTTAAAGAGAATTTTTTATTGGAAATAGAAGTACTAAGTCTCTACTTTTTTAATGTCTAAAATGGAACATAAATTGTGAGTCAATAAATTGGTATATCTACAGAGCCTTTTTATGCACAAAGTGAACCGAGCTCTTTATGAATAATCTACATGTAAGCCATTTACATTTTACTTGAGCTTTATTGTAAAACATCTGTTTAAGAAGTCCAAATAACATATAATATACATACCTGAAAGACAAACACTTGATATTGTGTGTGCTATATCATCTTCTAAACGAGACACCTTTAAACAGACAAGAAAAACCTTTTCCTGCAAGTCCACTTCGTTTGCACTTGTTTTCCAAATAAAATCGTATTGTAAAGAATAAACTTCTTTAAACATACATATTATTTTTTTGCATTCACTCTTTCTTGAATTGCACAAGAAATGCAGTATGGGTTTGCCTGGAAAGAATAAGAATTTTTAAGAATAGTTTTCAGCTTTTTTGACTTCATTTAATGACAAAAATGCTTAAACTTCTTTACCTGACTTTTTTGCAGACAAACACATTGACTTACTGCGCTTGGTGGTCTGCTTCTGTGAAATATTTGGAAAATATATTCTCAGTCAATTCAAATGAACTATGTGAATTTCACTTATTTTACAGTACCTACCGAAGAATAATGCGGACTCCATGTTTGCTTATGCATTGGAAAAGAAACTGTCTGACATTTTCGTCTCCGTTCATCTTCAGAATTGTCTAAATACATTTTTGAATTTTTGTTGATTTTGATTGATGGAAAGAAATTCCACATAAAGAAAAAATTACATGAAGAATACATACCACGATCTACAAGTGTCCATTCTTCTACTCCAGACTCTTTCTTTGCGTCCATTGACGATGAAAATATGGTTTGCCCTTGCTGTTTTTGTCTTCTCACCATGTTACATGTATCTAAAAGAATGAATTCATGAGAAAAACAATGATTTTGATCTATGTTTAAATATTTTTTTGTATGAGATTCTATTTTTACAAGAAGAACCTGATTATTCTTAATTAATATATTGATTTTGTTTCACATGATATCTTATTTGTCTATCTATTTATTATCGATTTCAAAATACAAAGACTGCCAGTCATCGTCTTAAGAAAAGAATTATAATCATTTTTTTAAGTTAATAAATAACGATGTTTATTTTGATCAGATAGCTTTAAATATAAACTAATAAAAAATAAAGTATAAAATGATGAAAATATGAATGTTAGATTCTATATCAAAGGCATGTTTGATACCGAAATAAAACAAAAGATTTAACGATAATTAAATTCTCCAAATGTATTTTATGTTTGAATTTTGTAATGACAGAAGAAAAGATTTTTATTATTTTCTCTTCTTTCCTCTCTTTTAAAACATATATGAAAAATTTTAGCCACTTTTTAAAGTTTTTATCAGGAATCTGTAGAAAATATTTAATAATGCTGATCTATGTTGAAAGACTGTGGAATTTCAAAGTAAACCAGAAAATCTGTAATGTATATGGTGGGATGATGTGAAATATCGTTCAGGAGAAAAGTCGATCGGAAGACCACCTGTTGCCCTAGCAACAAAAAAATGGATTTAGTGTGTGAGATATTTACATATGTTCCTTTTTTTAAAAAAATTAACTGTGCATTATACAAAACAACCCTTTTAAGAGTAACCATCCTTGTTACAAATTCTTAACTAAGTACTCGGAAAAAAGGCACAGGAATTTGAACAAATGATATATCCCCATGTAAGAATTTGATTCCCTGTTGTGGCGCCAGCCTAACTTTTGGGGCCATGACATGAAAATCTTGAAACTTTGATACATTTTATGTAATGTACGTAAAATATGCAATATTCCGACCAATCCGTCTATACAAAGGAAAATTTTAATTACTTCATTAAATTTTCACTAATTCACAATGTACGAGGGTTTTCCATAAAATTCATGGACAACCTCCATAATAAGAACTTATTGGTTGTAAATAAAATATAACAATGCCTTAATTTTGATTCAGACTTTACTCGTATTCCTGATTAATTTTGAAACAAATGCAACTATTAAAAATATTAATATCAAGCTTCAAAAAGTTTTTTTCTAATTGAACCCTGAGGTGACGAAGACGTCATTAGTGCAAACTAGCGTTTAAGAAATATTTTTATATTTTTTCATCGTTATCTCCTCTATTGTGTTTTATCGAAAAGACATTTCATATGATTTAGTTTTAAATACGAGTTTAAAGAAACTTCACATGCGATTTAACGTCTGTCAGCATTCAGTACGCCCTCTACTCATATCATAAAAACGCCCATAAAAGTGACCTCGGTTGCCTTCAGGACTTTCATCCAATTACCCTCAAACCTCAAACATCTTTTCAAAGTTGTTTTAAAAGTATAACTGAGCAACTGAATCTGGAACAATTTTTGATTGATTCCTTATCATTAAATTTGAGTGTCCCGATGTTGCTTAGAAAGAGTTTTTACAAAATGTTGTAGCTGCGCTCAGATCCGTTCTTGAAAAATCTGGTACACTTTCAGACAATTCACATAACATATCGATAAATTCTTCTATGAATTCCAGAGGCGTGTGCGAACGATGTCAAAAATATTTTTGTTAAGCTGACTAAAATTACTCTTTACTTTGTCATGATAAAGTTTGTATGATTTTAGCGCGATTTTTATGCAAAAGAAAGGAAAGGAACTTAAGATTCAGATTGTAATATCGTGGTGTTTTTCTACGGCCCTAAATATTATATTGAATGCTTTAAATTTTTACTTAATAATCCAAATAGGAGTAAATTCTAAAAAGAAAGATAACAGATGGAAGTTTTAATTTTTAACGAATGTTTTCGATCTTGTTACTTTAAAGTAGTTCAAGATTTTTTAATCCTTGGTCAATAATTTACACAATGATATTTCATTTCTGTAAATACATATAAGTGAATACCATTCCTTTATAAATAAATAATAAAGTATACATACAAATAATGCTTTATAAACAAAATTAAAAAAAATATTTATTATGTACCTTCTGCAATTTCAAATCCTTTATTTCCAGAAAGAAGTTTTTTCAATTCTTCAATCGAAGTATCATTACCATAAAATTTATTGAAGCATTCACTAAAACGCAAATCTATAACGCTGGAAAATCTGCTGTTGAAAATGGTCGATCTTTTAATGGGCACCCCTTCTTCACAATGATTAATAATAACCAAAATGGTATCTTCTGCTACAGTGAAAAAGAAAAAAATGAAAAATGAACTATTATTAAGAATATTTTATTGATATATGTATCCTTAAGAGGCAGTGCTTATATTTTCAGGGGATCTTATGGCCAACAGTTTGATGAAGATTTGACTGAATTACGAGAATGAGCAATAAAATTTAATTATTAAAGACCTCAGTGTATTAAACATAAATGCATACGTAAAACAAGCAAATTGAAAGAATTGTTGTCGCACACTTTTGTTGTCTTTATGGGTGAAATATCATTATTTATGGAATATTGTATCAAATATGCATGTATTATCATATATGTTATTCAAGAGTTATCACTGAAGTTTCTTTTTTAAAAAAAAATCAGAGCATGCCAGGAAACATCTTATCAAGTGTAATGCACATCTCAATTATGAAAGTTTCTATCTTTTTTTTTCAGAAATTATGAGCATTTTTAAAATTAGCCCTCAAGGTCAAATATCACAAGTTATCAAATGTAATGTTTGTCGATCTTCACAAAGTCTCAATTATGAAAGTCCTAATTCTTTTATTAAAAGCCTTGCCTTGTCTCAAAAATTTATGGCAGAAATTATGAGGAAGTAATTACATTTTTAAAATTAGGTCAAACCTCAAGGTCAAGGTCACAGTGTATTTATAAAGGTCAAAAACATTTAGTAATTATCTTAAAGTTGTTCAACTAAAAATCTACAACTGTGAAATAAATGAAAGTAAATCCCTATATCTTTGTTGGTTGTTTAGAGCATTCAAAAATCAAAACCAAAGTATGGAAGGTTTTTGAAATGTTTAAAAATATAATTAAACACATACATGTAGGTTTATCAAATCTATCAAGGTGAAAGTCACAGGACCAGACTCATTCCTCTTTTACGTCTATGACATTCAATATATAAACAAATTTAAAGTAGACTTGTTTGATTAAAAGAAAAATATCTTACACATTTCATTTTTGTATTATATTTACCGCTTTTGTCCTGTAATAATTGCACTGAACGTTCAATATTGTCTGTATTTAGACAAATTGCTAAATCCGGCACCATTTGCGAGTTTCTGTCAATCCAATGCAACGGAACACCCAATACGTTTTCAATATATTCTTGAAAAACTGGTCCTTGCACTCTATCTTCTGCTATTGCTGAGATGTCATTTGAAGGTTCTGATTTCCCTGTTTTAACCAAAAAATAAAAAAAATTAACATAAATCTTTTAAAACACAATCTAATAAATAAACACAGCTTTATGATGACAAAATCGTCATCAGTGTCACAAAGAAAAATAAAAAAAATATTGAAAAATAAATGTAATAAATTAAATATGTTCGTTTTTGTGAGAGAATGAACTTTCATTCATATCTTTTTTATTGTTAAATCGTTCATTGTTATGTGCATAATATATTCATGATTTGCTTAAAGCTGCATGTAATTTAGTTTTGATAGATTATTTTAAAATTCAGCTTAATACTATCTATCTATTTCTGATAAAGGGTTAACCTTTTGATTACTGTACTCTGCTTACTTGTCTCCCAGTGGTTAGAGCGTCTGTTGTGGTGGCGCGGGATAAGGAATTGATCCTTACATCGCGGGTTCGAATCCACTGCGGCACGTGGAAAACAGTCTTTCGAATGAAACTGTATAAAAAGAGGTTCTTTGTAGCAGCAAATATTGGCACGAAAAGACCCCCACTGCTCACTAGCCTTGGGTGCCGAGTATAGGATTCCACCGGTTAGTGATGGCGTCTCCATTAAACTTTAAAATTCTCGAGAGGATTTTAAATGTAAAACAAACTATGGTAATTTATTTAACAATGTATTTGAAAATTCTATAAACAAGTACCCATTTTGTTCTTTGATACATCACGCTAAGATAAAGGTAATATTTAAGTCAAGAGGTCGACAGAGAAAAAATATATTCTTGTAAGTTTCTGACCTGTAACACGTGACCCAGACATCAATTTCATCCTCACCAAGTCCAAAAAGCAATCAAATACAGTTTTTGCCAATTCATTTTCGATACAAGGAACACTTTCAAAATCATCATGACTGCAAATCAAGTGTGTCCAAAATTTGATTTTACTGTTCATTTTGAATGCTGGACAAGTAGGAGAATTTTCGTGTGGACAAACGACCACCAATATTCGTATTTGATGACCTACAATGCAAAAAACTTAGATCAGATTGAATTTTGACTATTAAAAAATTACGAGATAATTACGGTTAATAGTATTTTATACCTTGCATTTTGTCAAGCGCTTTATTGATATTGTCCTGCAAAGATGTGTCACTGCAAACCACAATTATGTTTGGATCGCATGCTTCAGAGGAATACATCAATTTATTTTCTAAGTACGGATATAAGGAAAAAAATCCATACTTTTTAAAGAAGCTTTTTACTGCCCTTTTTGCAGATGCCTCATTGTTAAAGTAAACAACTTCTATCATATCTAAAAGAAAATTTTATTTCTATAAAATAACTGTAATATGTACAAATCAAAATATGCGATAATATTTCAAAACTTTGAAAATAATTATCTTTACTTTAAAATACGATTACGAGTTTGTACGTGTACAATGCATAGTTAAAAAGTTTAGTAATCTAACGACCAAGCTATATGATAAACGATAAACTTTAACTTTTCTATCGTCAATTTCCCTTACTTATGCAGCAATATACCTTCATCACCTGCATACGGAGTATATATATCTCAGTTGATTCGATACGCAAGAGCATGCTCTACGTATGAACAATTTCTAAAACAAGGTGAATTATTGACAAGCAAGTTGATGAAACAAAAATATCAACAGTCTCGTTTAAAGTCATCATTTCGTAAGTTCTATGGTCGATACAATGACATTGTCAGCAAATACAATTTATAATTGAGTCAAATGCTGACTGACGTTTTCATACCAATTGTTAGTCCATTATTTATACACTGAATTGACGACGGATTTTTCTGTTATTTCCTGAACATGACAAGGAGCACACGATGTGTGTGACCGGGCGGCAGGGGATGCTCACTCCATGGCACCTGATCCCACCTCTGGTGTTTCGGGGGTACGTGTTGGCTCTGCTCTTATTTTGTATTGTTTCTCTGGTGTTTCGGGGGTACGTGTTGGCTCTGCTCTTATTTTGTATTGTTTTATAGACTTTGAGATTGAATACTGTTCGTTATCTCCATATCCTTCTTCATTCAAGAAAATGAAATTCAAGTCTTCGAGTTTTTCAGTTGTAAGAAATAATCATTCAGTTTAATTTATGACATCAATTTATATTATCGTATGAAGTTGTTTAAAATATATTGAATATTTATTTTTTAAATGTCAGGTCATTACAGGGTCATCAAAAAGCCAATTTAGAAATGAACATTACACGAATTACACGAGTTTTAACTTAATAGAATAATTAATTATTATCATAGAAATACAGCAAAATTCGTTTAGTACGAACACGGATACTGCGAATTTACGGATATAACGAAGTTTCTTGGATTCCCAACTATATTCCCAACTATATAAATTCTATGAATTCCCTCTACGGATGGGATATAGCGAAGTAATTTCACAGGTCCCAGTCACTTCGTTATAACCGAGTTTTACTGAAGTTAGAAAAAAATCTTCAACGCTGAGCTAAACGCAAACTGTAATGGACGGACGGACGACAGAACGGAAGAGGAACATGGTTATGTCTGTATGTCCAAATGTAAACCTGCCATTAAAAAATGAATTGATTTAAAAATGCTGATTTACCTGAAAGAGAACATGAAGTCGATTGTTGATGTAATGACATTTTCCACCAGGTCTGTGTCAAGAAGAAAAACAATGCCACTTCGTTATAAGACCCCAAATGGTAAAATTATGCTTAAATAGAGCGTTCTATGCACGTTTTTTTTTTCAGTGAACTTGGGGCATATATTTGTTTTACATTCATATAACCTCTTGGAATAAATTTTCATTTTTATTTCCGCTTTGTTAGGGCCATCTTTTACTTCATATAATTGACTTTCATTTAAGGCACATTTAATTTATTAATACATGATAAACGTGGATGACCATATAAATTATTTTTGGTCAAAGAAAAAGTACATGGTATTGACCAAATGATTGTAGTTTTTGATTATATGTTAAGTAGTTTTTGTTAATTTGAAAAAAAATACTACGACCTGAATTCTTGATATCTTGATCATTATGGTATGAACAAAAACAATAATCTTTGAGAAGAAATGTTTAAATTGTTCATTTTGAGTTTTTAAATATTATTAATTAGCTTTATTATAAATATGCCAAATTGAAAACAAGCATGTACGAAGCGAACCATTTTTAGTGCCAGGGATATGAATATAATCTAGTCCCCCATTTTTTTTTTTTATAGAAAAAAGAACAATACTTGTCTCCTTTTTTTACTATACGCGTTAAAATTTTACATTTAGAATTAATACAGTTTTCTTCTGGTTATCTTTTAATATTACGTAAAATGAGATATATGGAGATAACGAACAGTATTCAAGCTCAAAAGTTCAAAACAATACAAAAAAGAAACAAAGCAAACACGGGCCTCCAAATCATCAGAGGTGGGATCAGGTGTTATGGAGGACTGAGCATCCCCTGCCGACCGGTCGCACCTTTCGTGTGCTCTTTGTCATAATCGGGAAATAATGGTAATATCCGAAGACAATTCAGTGTGTAGTTAATTGCCTAACAATTAGTTTGAAAAACGTCAGTCTGCATTTGACTCAATGATAACTTGTATTTGCTGACAAGGTCATTGTATCGACCAAAAAGCTTACGAAATAATGATTTTAAACGACACTGTTTAAGTTCTTTTTTCATCAACTTGTTTGTCAAAGATTTACCTCGATTTAGAAATTGCACATACATGTATGTAGAACATGCTATTGCGCATCGAATAAACTGAGAGACATAACCCCGTATGCAGGTATACTGCTGCATAAGTAAGTGAAGCATACGATTGAAAAAGATAAAGTCATCACGTTTATTATGGAGCTTGGGTGTTAGATTACCATTACTGTTTTCTTTTTCAAGTATTATCTAAATATGGAACAGACTTGTCAGACGCTGTGGTATCTTTTATTTCAAGCACACTGGAATATATCTTGTCGAAATAAGAATAAAATTTACCATTATTGACAATACGTCGTCGATATCTCTAAATGTCGAGCTGAAGGCCACAGCAAGTGGTTTCTTCTTTTCACGTATAAGATTAAGGACAAATATGGACAAATTCTGCTTCATATGAATAAAAATAGGTCTGCTTATAACGGAGCACAAATGATACCCGTGGGAATTCCAATAGATTGTTGGAAGACCTAGTCTCCAAAAACCAAATAGATATTTTAAAACATGTCAATCAGAAACTCAAATAAAACAAAATAATTTTGCAAATGACCAATGACAAGGTAAGTTAGTTTATGAGTTCCATTATTATTGAAACATCAGCTGTCAATGATATAAAAAAGGCCTGGGCTTTAATTTATTGTGAGGAATGGTTGTGTATAAAGTTGAAAAGTCGTAAGTTTTTAAGCTGAAACCCGCTTTGTAGGAATTTTTATGAAGTTTCGGAATCAACTATAGATAGGGTTATTCAAATTCATTTTGGTTGTTTGGGTTATTAAAAATATTCAAAACTTACGAGGGTTGCCCGGAAGAACGTGAAGATGTTCAATATCTTTTGTTTCACTGGTACTATAAAGTTAAAAATCGGTATACATCATGATAAACATTTTTTGAATGATGCCTAAAAAGTTAAATAAAATACCTCTATAAATAAATTTTTCCTCTCTGGTAAACAGATCTAACAAATCAGCGTTCGGCGCAACACTGACGATACGAGGTCAAAACGCATCTCGTAGTGTTTGTGAATCTGTTCTGGAAACTGTGCCTTTAAAAATTCATTTAAGCATACATTTGGAATTGTATTTAATTTTGTTTTTGTTACCAAGTTATCAATCTTAAATACTAGTGTTACCAAAAGATCGTGGAGTTAATTCTTTTAACAGACAATTTCACAATCTCGAACATAAACTTAAACAGGTCGGAGAGAATACTCGAAATCGGGTATCATCCGTGAAATCGCGTATAATACTCGATATTAGGGTATCGTTGAATCCGCGAAATCGGGTATTCCGTGCAACTTTCTTTAAAAACAAATGAATAAAGCAACGGCGCATTATGCCAATTACTGTTACTTGTACATCAGTATCTTGTGGATTTATTTTTATTAAACCTAATTCATACGGTTGTCAAATAAGTTTTAAATCACACCACAAACACTGCTGGGGTAACAAAGATTATTATTATTTTTCAATATAATTTCTAAAAACAAATAACTACACTTCGTTTGTCTTTATTTCCAATTAAAGTATTCCATATACTTAATTTTCTAATTTGTGCACTATTCAAAATGTGAAACTTTAAAGAAATTGAACAACTAACGCCGTGTTATGTATTTTTACTGAAAAATGTATGGCGTCCCTTTCACGCGAAATATAAATTATTCCTAACAGCGAGAGAGTACAGTATAAGCGAGTCATAGGTGTATATCTCTGCCATAATAGAATACCAACGTTATTATAAAGAAGAAAATAGAATAAGATTAAATAAATACCTACGGGAAAACAGGTTGAAAATAGCTAATTGAAGGTGAGTATCTTTTTTATGTCAGTTTAGCATGGAAATTTTTACTCAAAGACACCGTAAATTTTTTGGTTGCGTTTTAATCGATACAAGATATGCTATTTTTTTCTTTATTTTATGAATTTGTGTGAAAATTGAGAGCAAGAAGTCATATGAACAGGATTTTCTTGTTTGGTTTTTTTTTTTTTTTTTGGGGGGGGGGGTATAAATAAAAGTCAAATGTGTACATCTTTTCATGAGCTTATAATACATTGAATTTCTCAATATTGATCGAGGTACAGTCATACATGTATTGAAATATGAATTACATAGTCAAAATTACACATTTCTTATAGTTTTTACGTTTATGAATATGTTAATGAACAAACTGAAATAATGGAGTGTTCAACTGCCTTGGAAACTCTTGTCTTACTTTTTGGGAATAAAATTCCTCATCGGACATTAGAATTTCATAAAAATTGTAGCCACTTCCCTTCTTTATTATACCATTTCATAGACAGGGTAAATTTTACCTCTTTACCTTCTATATTTTCCTTATATTGATATCTTATACCTCATTATAATATGCGAATACAACGCACTATCTGATT